CGCCCAGCTGCTCAGGTTTCCCGCTGCGTCTGCAGTCCGATCTGGAAGCTTATGTTTTTCCAATAAATTATCCATTTTCCCCAGTTTATGATTTTTTGGCATAAAATGATTCATTGTATTACTTTTTATTTTATTTTATTTTATTTTAGTGTATTATGGGGGTACAAGTGTTAAGGTTACTTATATTGCCCATGCCCCCCTCCCCCCCGAGTAAGAGCTTCAAGCATGTCCATCCCCCAAACGTTGCACATCTTACTCGCTGTGGTTGTATTACTTTTTAAACGGCTTTATTGAGGTGTAATGGACATACAATAAATTATACCTAACATGTACAATCTGACGCTTTCGACACATGTTTGCACCTGTGAACCGTCACCACGAACAAGATAATGAACATTTTCATCGCCACCGAAAATTTGCTCACGCCCTCCTCCTCCCAGTCCTCAGCAGCTACTCATTTTGCTTCTTGTCACTGCATACCAGTTTGCATTTCCTGGAGTTTTGCACAAGTGCAGTCGTGTAGTATGTGCTCGTCCCAGTGAACGGCTGCGCCAGTAACGGTGCCCCAGGTGAAACGGTGCGCCAGGTGAATGCGCCAGTCTGAACGTGCCCCAAGGTGAACGTGCCGCCAGAGGTGAACGGTGCCCCGGTGAACGTGCGCCACAGGTACACGGTGCCACCAGTAACGTGCCCAGGAACCTGGTCGCCAGGGAACGCGGTGCCACAGTGACCGCGTGAGCCAGGTGACACGGTGCCAGAGTGAACGATGCCCCAGGTGAACGTCAGGTAACCGGATGCGCCAGGCTGACACGATGCCCAGATGAACGGTGCCCAGGTGAACGGTGCGCCAGGTGAACGGTGCCCCAGGTGAACGTGCCCAGTCAACGGTCCAGGTGACGGTGCGCAGATGAATGGTGCGAGCAGGTGAACGGTGCCTCAGTGACGGTGCCTCCGGTGAACGGGCACTCCAGGTAACGGTGCACCGCGTGAACTGCACCAGGGTGAACGTGCCCACCAGGCTAACGTGCCTCCAGGTGAAGGCACCAGAACGGAGCCACACAGTGCACGGTGCCCGCCATGCGGGTGGCGCTGCACTCTCCTTGCGTGGCCCGTTGCCGCGTGACGCTGGCTCCCCGTGCGCTGTGCCCCGTCCAGCACGGCGGGCTCACGACGCATGAATGCGAGTCATGACAACCAGTCGTTTAGAAGTCCTGGATAGTCCAAGTAACAGACGAGTTGCACCTTCATAGCATCCCCATTTTCCTCCAGGAATCTCAGTCGTAATACATCGACCCTTTTTCTTTACAGATCACCATCTAGGCCATGACTGCCTTACGGCTAAGCATCCATTTCAGTACAAAGCGTCCAATATTCATCCTATACAGAATGTTTTGAAACTTCACATTTTCTTTTGTGGAGACAAAGTTTGCTCTGTTGCCTGCGCGCTACCGAGTGAGTGCTGGCGTCACGCTAACTCCACCAGCAACCCCCCGCCAATCCGGCGTCAAGACTCCTGCCCGCTCAGCCTCCCGAGTACTGGACACAGCGTTGCCACCCATCGTGCCTAAATTTTTTGTCAATAAATCGTTCTTTTTAAAATGGGGTCTTGCTGTGTGTGCCAGCGTCTTGCTCTCCAACCTCCCTGAGCCTCAAGCATCCTCCACCCTTGGCACGCACAGTGCTGGATTACACGGCGTGCGCCACCCGGTCGCAACGCCCAGTTCCTGAATTCTTTCTATATATTTGTAGTTGATCCAGGTATCCCTTTCTATTCTAGTGAGATGTTCGATCTTTGCTCAGCGGCTGGTTTTGAACTCCTGTACCGTTAGCGACTCCTCTGCCTCGGCTCTACCCAGACCGCTGGATGACAGGTGTGACATCTGCGCAGCCTTGAAATTACATTTTGACTTCCACATGTCTAACGGGGATCTGCGTCTTCGCGTTTATAAAAATGCCACACACAGTGAATGAGAAGGATGCATTGCAAGGTGCACGGCCTGTTCTTCACCTCCCGTCGGTCCTCGCCACTCAGCACCGCCCAGTGCACTGCACAGACACAACTGAAGCGTACCGGGAACCTCCCGGTCACCCCTGCATTTCTTCCTGGCCTATATTCGATGTTTGTTCCATCGTAAGGCTGTTCCTCCAGTAGCTTCCTGCTCAGGGCAGGACCACGACGAGAGCAACCTCAGTGGCTCTGTGACTCCATCCTACAGACCTGTTCACACCTTACCTTGGGTCCCCCTAGACACCGGGATGAGGACTACTGCAGGAATACACAAACAAAAAAAGACGAGTTTCAGCATGTCGTCCCGATGTCTGATTTTAGGAACAGGGCGGTGCACCGCGTTTCGCGTCGCTGAGGACACGATTACAAGGACTCCGCCCCGGGAGAAGATTGGGAGGAGGGGTATGGGGAAACGAAGAGGAAGGCCCAGGATGGCTGGCTGGGCCGAGGGAGTGAGATTCCCAAGCATGACAAAGGACTTAGGGAGGTTGATGTCCCATCGAATGGAAGGTCCCCTATCCCAGAAGAGAAACCGTGGACTGCGGTGCTCCGGCTGGCTGGTCCTGGCATCCGGCGGGAACGCAGCGTCTGAGTTACATCTTGTGGAACGTGGGGCTGAGACAACGACATTAAATAACCGCACGCGGCACGTGGTCACTAACGAGCATTGGAGGATCATGGGCTTCCCGAGGCTGGAACGCCCTGAACCCGCTTCAGAACCTCCACAGAGCAGAGAGGGAGGAAGTTCCACAACAACTGTGAGAGTTCCAGGCGTCTTTGTAAGAGAAGGGCTGGGATGAGTCAGTTGTAACATTTCACTGGGAGAAGACAGCAGTAAAGCAATAAAGGCACTGTTGGCCACCTAAGGCACTCGGGCATGGACACGCAGCTCTAGATATGTGCTCGGATCCGAGTCTGCCAAAGCAGCGGAGACACAGGGAGTGGGCAGGCGTGACCATGAGCAACACTACCCATTGGACGGGGATGGCGGTAACAAATCACCACACGGGCACCAGAAAGCGGGGATGGGGGGGTGTAACGTCGCAGGCAACCAGCTAGTGAAAAGCCGACCGTCCGCACCCTGGACTCACTCAATCGGCGGACGGGGTATTCAGAGGATCCGATAGCATCAGCCTCGGAACCATGCGTTTTCATCTGTATAGTGACCATCGCACACCGGCAGATATTAATGAGTATGTAACTGCAAGGATTTCCTCAGACAGACGGGAAGTCGGAGGAGGTCATTCTGCAACACCGCAGCGTGCAAACTATGCCGCCTCGTGAGGGAAGAAACCTTGCGCATGAGGTATGAGGAAGTGGGAAAAAGCAGAGACGGAAAAAGAAAGACAAGTGAGGTGTGACCATGCCATCCATCAGACCACAATCAGAGAGAGGAGGCGCAGACAAGCCACCCGACACCAGAGCAGCCGCTGTGGCGTCCACATGGCCATAGAAACCCAGATGTAACGATCTCCTACTCTGGGCAGCGAAGGGATTATCCCCAGGTGAGAGGATCGGCATTCATCACAAAGATGATATACACTCATATATTGAATTGTAATACCATTTTTTTTCCAGCAGTGGCAGGGTAAAAACAAGAATAAGTTCTTCCTTCCCTCCTGCCATGCCAGGTCCCGATTTCTCATTGATCCCTAGATCTGTAAGAACCGCCTTGTCACCCCGAGGGGAGCTGGCGTCCCCGCGCTAGGGATGCAAGGCTGAGTTAGCATGGCGATCTGTCTCCGGCCGGCGACTGGTCCAAGGTCCTGCACACGCCGTCCGCACCTCTGGGCCTCAACTCAAGCTTCTGGCCGAGACGGGTGCGTGACCCATGCCAGCAGACTCGGAGGAAAGGGTGCAATCCCCGGGACGGAGCCCAGACTTTCTCTTGTCTTCACCCCGGTACGCCTGCTCACGGTACCAGCACGCTATTTGGCTTATTTAGCCTTCGGTGAGCGCACGTTGGCGACCTTGCCCGTGAAGAGGGAGAGTGGATCCGAGAGTAGACTGAGCCAGGGAGGAGGCAGGCGGGAGAAGAACGAAAGGACCGGGACTCTGAGCCGCACTGCTTGACCTCCTGCTGTGCAAGCAGCACATTCATCGTGCACTGTTAATCTATGCAGTTGGTCTTTCATTTCACTCTAAGAATCAAAAACGTCCTTATGTCACTCCCACTGACCTGAAATTGTCTGTATACCATATGCTGAGTTTTTTTTTTTTTTTTTTAGACAGAGTCGACTCCAGTTGTCACAGGCCCCCCCCCCCCCTTTAAAGTGATGTGCCGAATGCGTCCAACCTAGCTCCAGCAACCTCAACCCTGGCTTCAACATCCCTTGCTCAGCCTCCAGATACTGGACTACAGCATCGACCACCACTGCCCGGGCGAGCAATCCGCCCGCCTCGGCCTCCCAGAGAGCTAGGATTACAGGCGTGAGCCACCGCGCCCGGCCCAAGGATGCTTTTTTAAAAGCCGATTTTAGATTCACACATGCTTCCCGGACCAGAGGTTAGCTTGTCCTTTTGGACTCCTAGAGTCACTCAATAAACCGGCTGCAAACTCCAGTTTCCATAATCCACCTGCTTGAGGTTCTCTGGACCGAGTAACGAAATCTGTGCCCTGGTGTGAGCCTGAAATTTAAAGTCTGGAATTTCCATTTAATCTCTAAAGACCAGGCGTCCTCAAACTATGGCCCGAGGGCCACATGCGGGCCGCCTGGCACGTTTATCCGGCCCGCCGGGTGTTTTTGCCACCGCTGCCTGTCCTGCTTAGCAGCCGACGCGTCCCGGGCCCACAGTGCGCATGTGTGGAATGTGCGCCGCTCTCTCCAACGGTCTGAGGGACAGTGAACCCCCCCCTGTTTAAAAAGTTTGAGGACCCCTGCTCTAGACATTCCAAAAAAATTTTTTTTAAATAAAAAAAACCCCATTGTCAATTCTCTTAGAACTGCGCCAGGTGAACGGTGCCCCAGGTGAACGGTGCCCCAGGTGAACGATGCGCCAGGTGAACGGTGCGTCAGGTGAACGGTGCGCCAGGTGAACGGTGCGCCAGGTGAACCGTGCGCCAGGTGAACGGTGCGCCAGGTGAACGGTGCGCCAGGTGAACGGTGCGCCAGGTGAACGGTGCGCCAGGTGAACGGTGCGGACCGAGCGCGGCTGCGCGCCGGCGCGCCTCCGGAAGCGCCGCCGCGCGCTCGCGCCACGTCGGCCCGCACGCCCGCGGCCCCGCACGCCCCCAGCGCGCCCGGAGCGCGCGACCACCGAGCATCACCATGCGCGCCCGGCTGCGCGCTGCTGCCGCTGCTGCTGCTGCTGCTCCGGGCCGGGCAGCCGCGGGGCGCCGAGCTCACCTTCGAGCTGCCCGACAGCGCCCGGCAGTGCTTCCACGAGGACGTGGAGCAGGGCGCCACCTTCTCCCTGGACTACCAGGTGCGCACGCGCGCCCGGCGCCCGGGAGCCAGAGGGGCTGCGGCGGGTCCCGAAGCCGCGGCTCCTCCCGCAAAGCCGGGCACGGAGGTGGGAGGCAGGTGCGGGGGGGGGGTGGGGCAGGTTGGCGTGGCGTGGCGGGGTTGGGAGGCAGGTGTGGTGCGGGTGGGGGTGGGGGAGGCAGGTGCGGCGGGAGGGCAGTTGCGGCGCGGGGCGCGCTTCTGGGGTGGCAGTGCCACGAGGGACGGTCCTGGGACTTGGGGTGGCCGGAGTGGATGGGCTCCCTGGGCCCCTGAACACTCACGCTCGTCTGCTGGGACCCGGGCGCCCAGTCTGGCCGAGTCAGTCTCCGCCACTTCGTTCCCGCAGGTACTGGAAGTGGCCACGGAGAGGAAGTGGGATCCTAGTTTGCAACCCCCAACCCAGTTTAAAGCCAGAGTCGGGTGAGCGCAGGAGCGCGGAAGGGCGCTCTGGAAGGGAGGGGCGCAGCGCAGCCCCAGTCCTGCACTGGTACCTGAGTGGCAGGGCGGTGTGGCGCAGCACTCGGCCTGCCATATGGAAAGGGCAGCTCCCGCACCCCGTACCTCCGAGAGGCTGGCAGGTGTGGGAGCAGGTCTAGGGGGTAACCAGCAGATCCAGGGCAGGGACCCGAGTGGGCGTCTTGCCAGCCACCTGCTGTGGACGCGCTGGCGTTCTGCGATGGGTGGCCTGGGCAGCGGAGTGGGGCGCGCTGTTTGGCCACCTCTCTGTGCTTGGCGCCTGGGGAAGGCTTGTGCTTGGGACAGCTTCAAGTGTGATGGCCCGGGCGCTGAGTTGTCTACTTTGACATCTGTGTGGACAACATGCATTTCGGCTGGTTAACACTGGCAACTAGGTGCCATGACAAAAAAAAATGATAATTGTGCGGCTGGAAGCACTGAGATGCATCTGGTCATTCTAGGCAGAGTCCCCTGTTGGGAGGTACCAGCAGGGTTTTAGACACCTCCAAGTAGCAAAGCTTGCTGAACAGGACTAGTAGCTTTGTCTGGACAAGGGACATTTCAAGTTTGGCAGCAGATGGAGGCTGTTGATTGTCTTTTGTGATCTTGGGTACAGCTGTTGACCACCCATGTCATTTTGCTCTGTGGGGTCTGTCTTTTTTTTTTTTTTTTGAGACAGAGTCTCGCTCTGTTGCCCAGGCTAGAGTGAGTGCCGTGGCGTCAGCCTAGCTCACAGCAACCTCAGACCCCTGGCTCAAGCGATCCTCCCTCAGCCTCCGCGAGAGGCTGGGACTACAGGCATGCGCCACCACGCCAGGCTAATTTTTCTATATATTTTAGTTGTCCAGCTAATTTCTTCTA